GCAGGCGGGGGGTGCTCTGGTTGCATTTCAGCTTTAATGAACAAAAAAGTCTCTGCACAAATACTGCTTGCAAAACATTTTGTTTCCGAGGGCAGGTATACTGTCCTTATATTGTTTCAATTTGACAGAGAAAAGAATATGCCTTGTCACCATTCTGCTGGATGCAACCACGATCAAAAATTACTTCTGAGGCAGTTAATAACAACTTTGAGAATATCAGCAGAATCGTGTAAAACACCACTTAGATTTGGCAAGTTTAAACAGTTTTGAAATAACAGGTGAATAATATATTCGGATTTGCCTCCATGGGCAGCCAGAGCAGAGAAAATTACTGTAAGACAAATTTTTTTACAAAAACTCAAGGTAAACAACTCAGCTCCTTTTTGTCAAGGGTAACGGAGTGGGCGTATAAATAAAATGCAGTAGGCAGGATGTCTCTGGAGTTTAACAAGGCCTCTAGCACTCCACCACACAGAAAACTCATTAACACACCGGCGAATCATGGCACAGATCAATTCAGATGAAGAACAGAGATTGTAAGTGAAGAGACTGCAAGTGAAGAGATAAGTGTCATGCTAAATCTGGCTGGGTAGAATATCAAGAAGGGACTTGTTAGATCCCACATTAATCAACTACCAGCAGTCCAGGGCAGAGCTGGTCCTGCTCCTCCCCTACCTGGGAAATTGCATTGCGGTAGCAGACTGCTAGTTCAAAATCAGTAGAGGATATTTATTAAAATCTGGAAGGTTCACCATCCCACCTGACATGACTTAAACACATGAAGCCTTAAATCTGCCTCACGTTTAACCTTGCCTCATTTAATGTGCTCTGTGCAAGTCCTCCTCCTCCAAAAAATTCTCTTGTACCATTCCATATTTTGACTACTCCTCAATCTTCTCTCCTTACAATCATTCTCTTACAGAACCTCTATAGGGTAAAATGCCATTGAAAAGATTCTTCGATCAACGTGTATTGTATGGCAGTCATATTTATTATGAACGGCAATAAAAATGACAACTCCATCATCCAGGTTTGTTGTGAAGGACAGAAGTAGTTGTCACAGCCAGCCAAAGTCACAGACAGACAGACACGTAATGAATAACGTTTTGTCAAATGTATTATTCTCAACTGTGTGGACATTTCCAGCCAGTCCTTTATTTGTTTCTCTTTGTTAGATCCCTCTGGACTCTCCCTTGAATCTGTCAAATGTGACTGAAATATCTCATGGACCTGCTTTATCAGGTAGCACTGAATAAGAAGCATCCTGGATATTAACCTGCAAACAGGAGCGTCGCGGATTACTCCACACACGCCTGCACAGCTTGCATGCCTGGTGCCTCTTCACGAGGGAGAACAGCTCACAACAGTACCAAAATTCAGGGTTGGTCAACATTCCTCCCCTGTGAGGAAGGGAGCCCCGTAGCCACTTGAAGAACCCATGCGAATGGATGGCTGATCTGTGTTTGAATGCCTGCCACGGCTCGGAATTCTGTACTACAGACCTGTGCTACTTTTGCCTGCAACACTTACATACCGCCTCGTACGTGTGTGCAATACTGTACAAGGAAATAAATTTCTATGTACGTTTAATGACTTTGACGGTGAACACAAACAATAAAGGGTATAGTCCTCCAAAAACATGGCATGCGGCAACAGGAGCACCACGGTATGAGGCAGAAAAATATGAACACTGTTATCCAAAAAAATTTTTTTGGCTATAGGATTATGGTGCATTTCTGCTCTTGAATAAACAAGAGAATCTAACTGAAGTCAGCGTGACCTGCAGGCGCAGAATGATGCCGTAAACGTTGAAGTACTGTTTTTAGAGGCATTTTTGTCTCTAAATGTCTTTTTTTTTTTACAAATGAAACAGTTTTGGGTTACACTTTCTATTTAATGGAAATACATTTGGAAGGCTTCTTGGCTGTGACCACAGACCTTCTGAGCCACGAATTTAGATTTGTTTCTTTTGTTATCCTCTAATTAACTTGCTCTCTTCATAGGTATAGCTTTTCCAAATCCTCTTCTTCCAAATTCTTTTTTTTATATACTTCCTATTAACACAGTTATTCAAAAAATAAAGGCAAATCAAAGAAATACCAGCCACTAGACTGCAACTATATCAATCAGATATTTCATATTTCCAGTCTTTTGAATATTGTTGAATGCTTCCTTACAACGGCCATCAGATATCTTTCTCCATGTAGCATGAAGGCAAATTTCAGGCAACACCTTATCACTACACATAAAATACTGCCCACTCATCTGCTTTACATTCATGCAGCCCCATTCTTGCTTGTTATTAGCAATTCAGCAAACTGTAAAAAACCAGCAATCCTGCATTACTGCACCTTCCTTGAGGAATATGCTCCCCCTAGCACTTGCATAAATGTTATCCCAATCAATAACCCAGTAAGTGAAGTCACCAGCATTTTGGCCCTTTTACAAGTCTCCTTATCTGAAAAAAAATTTCTTGCTCTGCGTTTTCAAACTGCCTTGGAAACAGCACAAGAATCATTTGGCCACCCCTTTGTCCTTAACCTCTGAATTAGCTATTGCTGTAATGTCAGTGAAAATCATTTTGTTTTTCTCTGCAGATACAGCATCATTATCTTCCCGAGTGTTGCTTATTCCTTTTCTCATTCTTCAAGTTTATCACTAAGCCATAAATTCTGATTTTGTTAATACCAGTAGTAGTTTTGTCTCGGGGTTCTGAAACTGCTGGAGATTTTTTGTTGAGTCATTTTGGTTTGGTTTTGTTTTACTTCCAGTAATAAAAAAGCTCCCAAAGAAACTGAAATGCTAAGACAGGAAAACACTGGTAAGCAAATGACTGAGTCTGACAAACAAACAATTACCTACACTGCTCAGCTACCAGAACATATCGAGGGTGAAATCCTGCCTCCGTTAAAGTCAATGGGAGTTTTGTCATTGACTTCAACTGAGCTAGAATTTCACTCTAGAAATATTGTATGTGACTAAATGGGAGAAACCCACATGGAAGACAGTGCAAGCTTACCTGGGAACTTCATTTCCCAGGAAACTAAAAGCAGCACTTCTAAGTATTGAAATTCAACTTCAGAACTTTCTAGATCATTGACTTTATAAAAAGGTTAAGCAGACAGAAGATAGAGCTTTTAAGACTATGGAAGTATGACACAGTTATATTCACATACTCTAGGGAAAACTATCACTTGCATGATTTTGAACATGGCTTTCCCCGGCATCCGATGATGAAGGGCCACATCCTGCTCTGCACCCCGAAGGAACCCCTTTGGATCAATGGCACGGCACACACCTGCCCACTCAGCCTCGTATTTCTGCAGCCTTTGCTCTCAAAGTACCTCAACCTGGAGCTAAGTTTATTGCATCGATATTTCGTTACGGAAATCACAAAAATCTCAAAAACATCGTCCGATGGGAAATCAAAAACCTTTTCCCCTCTCTCCCCCAAGTAATATAAATAAAAATCACATTAAAGAAGTTTTGCTCATTAATACGCCAAGCTATGGTACAGTTGCAATTGGCTGACAGAGCTGCTTGTCCGTTTTTGCCTACAACCTCTGCCCAAAGGGAAGGTGCAACAAGCGTAAACTGGCACTTCGCCATTCCAGCAGATGAGCGCAGTGCATAGACGTGGCCCTGCCTGTCGGTACTAGCTGTATTTCGAGAGGGCATGACTCCCAGCCAAATATGTCAAAGCAGCTGTCCATCCTAAGTGCGTGCACCCATGATTAAAGAGATACGACTGCTAATCCAGCCCTGATTTGGGAAGAGGGATTAATATTTAGACACCGCCACCACCACAAATAAGCTTCTGGGACTGTAAAAAAACAGTCAGTCAAGGCTGCTTAATCAGGTAGAGATGATTCATTTGAGAAAACCTGCGCCATGACCTTTCACGAGTTTCTGAGCGCAGACAGGCTGTCAAATTTTTATGGAGAAAAGAGGTGTAATCAACTAGTGCTTATGATGACCTTTTAATAAGTAAATGGCTGAGGTAGGCACACATTCTGAACAGAAGAAGAAATTGGATTTGTATGCATGTCTAGTGTTTGCTGGGAAAAGTGATGAAACCCACCCCCGTGCCTGTTCTGTTAGCCCACTCCAACTAATATATATGTACATATATACCTGGATATATACATATGCACAGCTGCAACAGCGCACGGGAGTGCAGACTTGGTAAAAATGGTAGAAGTTTTCACACCCTGCGAAGAGACGAGGGCCGTTCACACCGGCAGACGGGGGAGAACTCTGCCCGTGGGAGCCCCCCGGCCCCCGAGGCTCCCGCTCCAGCGGGGGCTCCCCCGCGGCCGGGAGGGT